TATATATATAGTTTTATTTTGAAGGGCCGTTCTTGTTGTTAAATAGATTACTGTAAGTTTCGCGCCCCTTAGCACGCGCTGCTGGTACTGCATTTTTTATGCTTGAATTTACAGCATGAGGCGCAAGTAAGCGTCGGGCCTATGCTCTGTCGTGTTGGTATTGGTTATCATAAAGCACTGATAAGGAATTTGGACAAAAATTGAATGTGAGCGGAGAGTTTCCCAGTGATGTGGCTGTAACAACCCTTCTTACAAAGGAACCACACAACTTTTCTTGCAATTCTGTGATTTTGATTCTTTCTCTTTTTTAGGAACCAGACTAATGTTGATATTTAGAATAAACTTTTTCTCTATATAACTCAATTAGCGTGAAGCATTTGACGATTTTAAGCCACCCCTATGATTAGAGTCCAGCGAGACAATGTGCAGTTATTTCACAGCCATCATAGCCACCTTCCTGCTATTCTAGGTTTTGCCTGTATAGTCATCTCATATTAGCTTGAGCACTTCAGCCACTCTGTCACTGTTATAGTCCATATTTGACACATTTTCGAGGGAATTCTTTGAAATTTGTATTTAAGTATCAAACACTAGGTATAATGTTGAACACTACACCACTGTTCATAAAGCAAACAAAGACTTATCCTGAATATATGCTGTAAAGATTTTTAAAAAAGGGACGGGGAAATGTGAAATGTCATTAAAAAAACAGACGGGAGACTCCGGGGTCAGCTACTTCCTACGGTTGTTTTTTTGAAAGGACCGGTTGGATCCTCGCTCTGCAGCCGACCAATCGGAAGTTAGTATTTTTCGCGCTGGTTGGCCTGAGAGTTTGAGTTTCCCGCAAGCTTTTGATTCGACTTGAATGAAATCCTTCGCTTTACATGATGAATACGGGTATTCTTTCCCTTTAACCACCGAGAGGAGATTCAGCAGGTAACTAGAAAGATGCTGTCTTTCATGTTATTGTCAATCCGGGAAAATCAAGCTGGTTGCGTTTTTGCTAGTGCAGTTATCCGGGTCGACCATCCATTTTAGCAAGAGATGACTTGCTAGTTAGCCATCTATGCTAACGTTAAATGTGCAGTTTGACTTGGCTTCAATGGTTCACTGGGGCTAGCTTTGGCTAGCACTGTTAGCTTTTTGAAACAAGCTGTCATGGCGCCTGCAAAATAAATTTAGAAGTGAAACAAAAGCAGAACATTTTAAACGATTTACCGCCAATGTGCAACTATGCCGCCACGTAGGTAATTGCCTATTTGGTTTAATCGGATAGCAAGTAAGCTGATGGCTTAAGCGTCTTGATGGCGGCTTTGTCTATTTGCTGGAATCCGGTGTAATGGCTGACTGTAGTGATGACAGAGATGCGGTTGTACGCTGTATGAAAATGCTTGACCGCCTGTCCATGGATGTGATCCATGAGATTCCCTCATCGTGGCTTCCGTTTCAGGAAATAGCCAGGGCCTTTTTCTTGCATGACATTATAGAGAAGTCCGCTTGGCAAAATAGGTAGCCTACGCTCGCCGGCGGAACACTTTAACGTAACGCTAATGTTTAACGTACAGACGGAGCGCTCGTTAAAACCGCTTGCGTTAACGTTAAGACAGCTTCAGTCGTCCTGCAGTTACACTGCAACGAACGAGCACATTACTGTCACAGTGTAGGGCAATAGACAATATGGTTTTGCTTTGTACAAAGGGTGGTATGGATTAAATTCCAGCAATTATTCGCACTCCCAGTTGCATTGCTCTGTATGTCAGCTGCTTCCATTTCCGCGGCTTTTCTAGCCGGTAATGCGGTCGTTACGCGGCACAGCCAGCCGTCCGCTCATTGGACATTCGCTGCATGCGGTGGAGCCTGCAGGCTGATTCTCCATACTACTTTGCCACAGTCTGCAGCTAGCAGCTAGCAGCTAGCGAGTCATTTTCCAGGAGAAAGCCAACTTAAAATTATCGCGGTAAGAGGGTTTTCATGCCGCCAAGTGGGTTTCGTTCGCATGCATGGCTATAATCAAGGATAGGCTTGACCTGACCTCACTCTCATTAGTTGTTATTGGGTGGAGGATGAATAGATAAATATATAGATATCGTTTCATTAAACACAGTTATTGCTGCTTCAGACTTCTGGTCAATCGAATCGCTCTACTTTCTTGTAAAAGCATCCGAAACTACAAGGCTAGAACATTCCGTGACAGGTGCAGTATTCTGTGTCCCCTCCCAGCTTTCTATTCAAGCTCGCTGGAGCAAGTGAGTGCCATTTTGTAAAATGTGTAACGTTATGCTTATTGGAGTCATGTCTCAGAATGCAGTTTAGCAAATTGAAAGAATCAGAAGCATACCCACACACAAATACTGGATAATATTGTTTTCTGATTCAACCTGTGGAATAAGACGTTTTTATGTGTCACTTGTTCCCTTGTAGCTCAGTGACCCTGGAGGGGGTTAGAAGTGATGGATAGCAAAGGTAGCTCCCTGCCTTCAATGCCCGAACCAGCCAATCCGATCAGCATGAAGCAACCACCGGAGTCCCTCAGTGTACGGAAAGGTCGAGGGGATATGAGTAGTGACCCGGCTATGCTAATGGACAAAGCTGCTGCACAGCTGGCTGCCACACTACAAGACAGCGTTCTTCAGAAGATGGCTGGCCATAACAACCACAGTCACGACAGGCTCAAAGACCTCACCTCCCGCATGCTCAACGGTGACCAAGACTCACTGCCCGAGCTTTGTACCCCTGAGCCACCTATGTTCAGGGGTGCTGAAGCGCCTGCCACAAATGGCACCCATCAGCACAACTGTACTCCTCACACTGAAGCTGAACTAACAGTAACGATACCCCAAGTAGTCACGCAGCCGTTATTTGAGCCATGTTGTGCCAATGGGACCAGTTTGGCCACAGCCGCTGAAGGTACTATATCTGGAACCGATGAGAGGCAGGATATGAAGAAAAGGAGGGGGCGAACTGTCAAACCAAATCCTCAAACAAACTTAAATCCCTCTGACATCCAAGTGGAGCCTCCTGGCCACACAAACATTGTGGAGGGAACTGAAGAGACTGATGAGGTTTTACTTTTCTTCTTACCTTTTTAAGTGCTACTTAACCCCTTTGTGCAGTGTAGTATACTGCAATATGCTGAGAGATGGTACAGTTAATTTAACAGACTGTATTACATTAAAAGTAGAACATTTTCAGCTATTAACGATGTGTTGGGGAAATGATCATTTCTTACAAAAGTTTGTATTTATTGAGTAACTGTCTTTCTTTCTCTTGTGCAGCCTGAGAACAGGTCAGAGTTGAAAGAGGAAGTAAAGGAACAGGCTCCTTTGCTTAGCCGCTTCTCCGTTGGGGATCTGGTTTGGACAAAGGTGTCAGGATACCCCTGGTGGCCCTGCATGGTGACCACAGACCCAGAACTGAACAATCACTTTAAACAGAAACAGAAAAGTGAGAAGCTCACGGCCACCTGCACGATTTTAACACGTCTTGGAAAATTGATTTATGTTTTTATTGATTTGTCCATTTATTTTGTTTTTCAACAGCCAA